TTGATTGTCTTCACATTGGGCGAGAGCTTGACTGGGCTGCTCAGCTTCATGAGCATGAGGTCATGATCATAGGTGCGGTTGTTATACCGGTGGTAGATGAAGGACTCTGTAGACCACATCTTGCAGGCAGCGCCACCAACCATAAGGTCACTGCCCATTTGCACAAAATAATAACTTAAAAAAAGCAACGTTCAGAGGGAGACACTGATTGAGAGAGGGGTACAAAGACCCGAGTAGGGACAGAGAGAAACAAGAATCCACAGAGAGTCATGAAGTCGAGGGGAGAGAGAGAGAGAGAGAGAGAGAGAGAGAGAGAGAGAGAGAGAGAGAGAGAGAGAGAGAAACAAGATCCCACAGAGAGTCATGGAGTCGAGGTTGCTCCCCCGTCCTGTACCTCTTGTGGCAATGGGCGATGGTGAGCACCCACTGCTGGTGGATCAGCACGCCTGCACACTGGAATGTATAGTTGTGATACAGGGCCACCAGCCAGGGATGGGAACCTCTTGGACATGCAACTCCTTTAATAATCCTTTCCCCAGTATCCTGGGCTGGATGGAGACATGGGGGAAAGCATGGGCAGCAGGCATCAGTCTAAAGTATGATAGATGAATTCCCAGAGACAGTGATGGAGAAAGAAAGACAGAGTGTCATGGAGAAGGGCAGAGGCAGGCATGGAGCACAGGGCAGAGACAGCTACAGACAGAGATGGAGAGAGATGGGGGGAGCCAGCACAGAAACCCAGGGCAGCAGCTGGTCTGGAGGCAACCCCAGCTTCTGATGAGAGAGACACCGAGGGCGGGGAGCAGCCTGGAGGGCACCCAGAGCCCAGGAGTCAGGAGGGAGCAGGAAGAAAGGAGCCACAGCCCAGGGGTTGAGTCTCGATGGAATGAGACTGCTGCAGGGGAGGGTCCTGACTCAGTGGCTCCTTGGAAAGAGAGGACCCTGGAGAGGAGAGGTGGGGAACTGTGGGGCCTGGGGGCAAGGTTGGGACTCCCAGGCTGGTCCTCACCTGTTTGTTCAGGAGAACCCAGGGCTAAGGACAGCAGTAGGAGCAACAGGAGCTGGAGCAGGGGACCTGCCATGTGTCCTGTCTGAACCTCTGTAGCTGCCACAGAGGAAGGCCTCTTCTGCTGGGGGTGGAAAGACAGAGAGTTCCGGAAGCAGGATTCCTGGTCTCCAGGTCCCTTCTCTTCACTCAGACCCAGTAGTCCCCAGTCTGCACCCACGTCCTCCCTCAGACCGAGGAGCCCCTGTCTGCACCCACCTCCTCCTTCAGACCCAGAAGTCCAGGCCAGAGACACCCTTCTATGCAGAGGCACCTAGGGGTCGAGCTTTCTGTCCCTCCCCATTTATAATCAAAAGCCTTTCTATTCTTCCCCATGTATAATTCCATGTCCCAAGTTCCTTTTAGGTAAAAGACCCAGAATTCAAGCCCTCCAGCCCCTCCTCTCACAACCCGAAAATCAGGTCTCTACTGCTCTGCCTTCAAGAGCAAGAGTGGGCTGTCCATGCAGACACACCTGCCCCATCCTAAATGAGATTTCCTCTCACCTGCAATGGGTCTGGTCTGGTCCTCAGCCTGGGTTGTAATTCACTGTGCCCAGCCCTGTGCAGAGTGGCCCTCTTATAGCACACCCGCCCCATTCCAACTATGAGGATCCTGGAGTTCAGGTGAACCCAGCTCTTGGGTTACGTTGCCTGCATTTGCGCTTATCTGGAACCCGGGAGGCATCTCAGGCCATATGCCCACACTCTACTGCCAACTCATTCCTGAGGCCAGGTCAGCGGGTTGGCCCCAGCACGTTCCAGCTCCACCATCCTTGGTGGCAGCTACGAAGGGCGTGACCAGGTACTGGCGCTGAGGGGCAGGACCAGGAGCCAAGGACCTCCCTGCAGGGCTCAGGATGAGCTGTGCCATGGGTCCTCCCCTGTGGCAAATTTTCCTGCCCTCTGCCCCTCTCAGGGGTGGCCTGGAACTTACACAAGAACTCTGAGCCGCTTGTGGGAACTTGTCAGGCTGAATCCTGGACATGTCTTTGAGCCTGAACCCAACCCTATTATTGGGGTATGAATCTCAAGAGAAGGCTTTCCTAACTCCACCTTCTAAATATGTACTGTTTTTCACTTATTATACTTTGATTTCTATACATAGTATGTATATCTAACTAAAATATCTGAACACTATCTATAATAATGGGACATCTTATTTTCTCTATAGAACGTCTTGAACAGCCCTAGTTGGTTTGGTTCAGTGGATATAGCGTTGGCCTGCAGACCAAAGGGTCCTGAGTTTGATTCTAGTCAGGGGCATGTACCTTGGTTGCAGGCTCCTCCCAGGCTCTGCCCTCATCAGCTCCTGCAATAGGCAACCAATCGATGTTTCACTCTCACATCCTTGTTTCTCTCTGTCTTTCCCTCTCTCTTTTACTCTCCCTAAAAATCCATGGAAAATCATCCTCGGATGAGAATTAACCAAAAGACAAAAAAATTTTTTTTTTATTTTAAAAATAAATTTTAGAAGACTTGGACAATTGTTTCTCGTAGAATGCTTACTCCTTTTTTATTCTGTTGTATAATGTTTATATTATAGCTTTATTCTGACTTAAGTGACTCTTCCACATTGAAGCACCTTTGAATCGCTTTCATTATAATGAGGGTGGCATGAATTTCTTGGATTTTAATCCACAAAACTGTGGACCCTCCAGTCCCTTCCTAATGCAAACTCAAGAGTTAAAGCCCACAGGCCTCTCCTCACTCAACCCAGGACACTGGTTGCCAAGTCACTCCGCTCTCGGACAAGAAGTTCTGGCCCCGATCCCACACATCCCTCAGACCCAAGAGTTCATGCCTCCAGACCCCTCTTCCCTCAGACACAAGAGTCCAGTCCCCTGGACTCATCTGTTCTCTTCATTAGTAACAATGTAGAAAAATATCTGGCATTTGGGACACCCCGGTGCCTCGCCAGCATGGCCAAGGGTGAACCTGAGTGGAAGCAGTGAAGGACTGAGAAAGTCAGACAAGAGAATGTAAGCTGGGTCACGGTAGGATGTTGTCCTCTCTGATGGAGAGCTAGCGACCACACCACAAACTACAAGACCTGTCTTTATTTTACAGCCAGATGCCATGAGGCAAAGGAAGGGTGTGTTCAAGATGTTTACAACATTCTCCTGGGTTTCGATCCTACTCAATTACAAGCACCTGATCAAGCTTTGTTCACTTGCAGCCTATCTCACTCAAGCATGTGGGCCACGTGTTCGGACCATAGCTCCTAGCTTACAACTCCAACTGCTGGCTATCACTGTGCTGGGAGGGCTCTGCCCTCCAAGCTGGGACTTGCATGTGGCCAGGAGAGAACTGTGCCCTCTCATCTGTCCGAGGCTTGGACCTGTCCAAATACTGTAGCCGCTCTCCACATACCTGCCCTCCCAAACCTCAATCCACATCCCCTCTCTCCAGCGTGCCACCCCCAATCAATATTCAATCCCAAAAATTAAAAGAAAAAAAAAATAACCCAACATGGCAGCTGCACTAACTGGCTGGAGATACCTGGCCACGCCTCTCTGCTCCTTTGCAGGAGTGGCAGGCGGAATTTTAATTTTGTATTAGAATGTTGTTGACCTTTTTCATATGCCTTTCAAAATAAATGACAAAGTCAAGTGTGGCTGCAAGTCATGGATATCTTTATTTCTGGGAAGTTCCTGCTCAGGGCATAGGGATGGCAGATGGAAGCATGGAGAGATTAGGAATTGGTTTTCATGGTATTATATATCCATTTGTTGTACATGCATACGCGGGTGTATATCACTGGCTCAAAGGGCATTATACAAGGGTAGTATCCGTGGGACACCAGGCCTTGCAGGGAACCTTCACAAATCAGCGGGTTCCCGGAGTCACCCTGCAAGAGAGAGAGCAGATTAGTTTTGATTTCAAAATAACCAGCAATGAGGTCACATGGATCCCATGCTTATCAAGCCTTGTTTCAGCCTTCCACCCTGGCCAATGGGAAGAGACTCATTGTCTCTGAGGACCAATGGCAGAGCAGGAATGAATGCTATCTTGGAGAGGACCAACCACATTTTCAGTAGACATTGGCTTGAGTCCCAGCCAATCACAGGAGGGGAGGCGGGGCGTCCAGGGTGTCAGAGCCAGGGTGTCAGGCAGGGGAGGAGAGAGGGAACTCACTCTGCAGGGGTAGGCGAGCCCAACGGGCGGAGCAGCACAGATCATGTACTTTTTCAACAAGACCGGGTACACCGTCCTGCACTCCTTGTAGGAGATGATGTTGACATTGGCGCACATGAGCATTAATGGGAATGTTGGTGCTGGAGGAGTTAGAGAGCAGGGGAGGAGTCAGAGGCTTGGTCCCGTGGACCTGTGGGTGCTATAAAAAAATGGGGACCCTGGACATGGAAGGAGGAGGAGCCGGGTGACCCAATACGAGGGTTATGCAAAGGGCCCTATTTCTTGGACTCCCGGGTCGTCGGAAGGAAGGGACTTGTGCCTGAACTCCTGGGTTTGAACGTACTGTGCAGAGTGGCCCCCTGATAGAACGCCTGCCCCACTCCAACTCAGGGTCCTGGAGTTCAGGCGAACCCCGCTCTGGGGTTACCTTACCTGCATTTGCATTTATCTGGAACCCTGGAGGCAGCTCAAGCTATATGCCCGCACTCTATCTCCACCCTTATTCCTGAGGCCAGGTCAGCAGGTTGGCCCCAGCAGGTTCTAGCTCCACCTTCCCTAGTGGCAGCTCTACCAGTGGAAGGAAGAGGAGCTGGCATGGAGGGACACCTCCTGGGTAGAGGGAGCTGGGGACCAGGTCTCCTTTGTCTGAGGGATAAGGCGTCTGAAGGCCAAGATTCCTGGGTCTGAGCGTGGAAGAGGCTGAGGGCCTGGGCACTTGGCTGTGCCTGAGGTGGTGACTGGGGTTCTAAATTCCTGGATCTGTGGGATGGAGGCCTGGGATCCAAGGGTTATGGGACTGGGGGAGGTATGTTTAAAGGTCAGGCTTCCTGGGTCTGACTGTAGAGGGCCTGGTGGTCTGGCTTCCTGGGTGTGAGATCGCAGGTGAAGGGGGTCTGGAACCTCGGGTCTGTCCCCTGTATCTGTGGGCCGAGGAAGAAGGGAGTTGGGATGTTGGTGACTGGGGTCCCAGAGGCAGCCTCACCTACATCCATGGTGGTGATGCCCCAGCCAGAGACAGTACAGCTCGTCCCAGGGAATTTGCAGCTGGTCGGTAGTTTGATTGTCTTCACATTGGGCGAGAGCTTGGCTGGGCTGCTCAGCTTCACAAGCATGAGGTCATGATCGTAGGTGCGACTGTCATACTGGGGGTGGACGAAGGACTCTGTGGCCCCGATCTGCTGGATTGTTCCACTAATCAGAAGGTCACTGCCCATTTGCACAAGGTACTCACTTGGGGAATAAAAGCAACATTGAGTGGGAGACACTGTGATTGAGATGGGGGAACATAGACCCAGAGTTAGGGGTAGAAAAGCCAAGATAGAGAGAGAAAAAGAGCCAGAGAGAAAGAGAAAGAGAGAAAGAGAGAAAGAGAAGAGAAGAGAAGAGAAGAGAAGAGAAGAGAAGAGAAGAGAAGAGAAGAGAAGAGAAGGGAGAAGAAGATGGGAGGAGAGGAGAGGGGAAAGTAGGAAAGAGGAGAGACAGAACAGAGACAGAGAGAAGGACCTCCTGTGGCTCCCCTGTCCTGTACCTCCTGCGGCAGTGGGCGACGGTGAGCACCCACCGCTGGTTGATCAGCACGCCTGCACAGAAGAATGTATTGTTGTGAATCAGGACCACTTGCCAGGGATGGGTGCCTCTTGGACATTCAACTCCATTAATAATCCTTTCCCCGTTGCTCTGGGCTGGAAGGGAAACATGGAGAAAGCATGGGTAGCAGGCATCAGGGTAGGACTGAGTCCATAGTAGACAAATTCTCAGACAGTGATGGAGAGAGACAGACAAACAGAGAGTTGTGGAGAAGGGCAGAGGCAGAGACAGCTGCAGATAAGGATGGAGGGAGACTGGGGGAGCCTGTTCAGAAACCCAGGGCAGCAGCTGGTCTGGAGGCAACCCCAACTTCTGATGAGAGAGACACGGAGGGCAGGAAGCAGCCTGGAAGGCACCCAGAGCCCAGGAGCCAGGAGGAAGCAAGAAGGGAAGGCCACAGCCCAGGGGTGGAGTCTCCATGGGACCAGCCTGCTGCAGGAGAGGGTCCTGACTTGGGGGCTCCTTGGAAAGAGGGGGATCTGGAGAGGGAAATGGGGAGCTGTGAGACCCCGGGGGCAAGGTTAAGACTCCCAGGCTGGTCCTCACCTGCTTGTCCATCAGATCCCAGAGCGAAGGACAGCAGTAGGACCAGTAGGGCCTGGAGCAGGGGACCTGCCATGTGTCCTGTCTGAGTTTCTGTGGCTGCCACACAGGAAGGGCCTCTTCTGCTGGGGCTGGAAAGACAGAGAGTTCCGGAAGCAGGGCTCCTGGTCTCCGGGTCCCCTCTCTTCGCTCAGACCCAGGAGCCCCCACCTTCCTCCTCAGACCCAGAAGCCCCCAGCCTGCCCCCACCTTCTCCTCAGACCCAGGAGCCTCTGTCCGCACCCACCTCCTCCCTCAGACTCAGAAGTCCAGGCCAGTGACACCCTTCCATGCAAGGGCACCTAGGGGTTGGGCTTTCTGTCCCTCCCCATTTATAATTGAAAGCCTTTCTGTTCTTCCCCTTGTATAATTCCATGTCCCAAGTTCCTTTTAGGTAAAAGACCCAAAATTCAAGTCCTCCACCCCCTCCTCTCACAACCCGAAAATCAGGCCTCTACTGCTCTGCCTTCAAAAGCAAGAGTGGGCTGTCCATGCAGACACACCTGCCCGACCCCAAATGGGATTTCCTCTCACCTGCAGTGGCTCTGGTCTGGTTTGGTCTTCAGCTTGGGTTGGAATCCAGCCGTGTCCAGCCCTGTGCAGAGTGGCCCTCTTATAGCACACCAGCCCCACTCCAACTCTCATGGTCCTGGAGTTCAAGCGAACCCAGCTCTGGGGTTATCTTACCTGCATTTGCTCTTATCTGGAACCCGGGAGGCAGCTCAGGCCATATGCCCACACTCTACCTCCATCCTCATTCCTGAGGCTAGGTCAGTGGGTTGGCCCCAGCACGTTCCATCTCCACCATCCTTGGTGGCAGCTACGAAGGGCATGACTAGGTACTGGCGCTGAGGGGCAGGACCAGGAGCCAAGGACCTCCCTGCAGGGCTCAGGATGGGCTGTGCCCTGGGTCCTCCCCTGTGGCCAATTTTCCTGCCCTCTGCCCCTCTCTGGGGTGGCCTGGAACTTATACCGTAACTCTGAGCCGCTTGTGGGACCTTGTCAGGCTGAATCGCAGACGTGTCTTTGATTCTGGACCCGACTCTACTATTGTGGTATGAATCTAAAGAGAAGGCTTTCCTAACTCCACCTACTAAATATGTACTGTTTTTCACTTATTATACTTTGATATCTATACATAATATGTTTATCTACCAAAAATATCTGAACACTATTATATTTAATGGGATATCTTATTTTCTCTATAAAACATCTTAAATAGCCCTAGTTGGTTTGGTTCAGTGCATAGAGCGTTGGTCTGCATATCCAAGAGTCCCGATTTTTATACAGGTCAAGGACATGTACCTCGGTTGCAGGCTCCTCCTCAGCCCAGCCCCTGATCACCACTCTCTGACATTCTTGATTCTCTGTCTTTCCCTCTCTCTTCACTCTCCCTAAAAATCTATAGAAAAATATCCTGGGTTGAGAATTCACTAAAAGACAAATTTTTTTTTTAATTTTAGAAATAAATTTTAAAAGTCTTGGACAATTGTTTCTCTTAGAATGCTTACTCCTTCCTTTATTCTATTGTATAATGTTCTACATTATAGCTTTATTCTGACTTAGGTAACCTTTGAATCCCTTTCGTTATAATGAGGGTGGGATGAAGTTCTTTGATTTTCTTCTTTGCTCATTGTATTCATTCATGATGAATTCTTTGCAAGGAGATAGACCTCTTGTTGAAATTTAAAAACAAATAAGGCAGGGTACTGTCTAGGATCAAATACAATGAGCAACGGAGACATGTGTGTTTCTCTTACAGGCGGTGCAGGATGGGTAACATCTCACATAAATCGTTTACGAGGTTATTTGGGTAAAAGATAATCATCAGGAGTGATGGGGGCCTCTCCCCTCAGTACCAGGGTATTTGTCCCTGCAGCTCCGGAGAGATGATCATCTGACATTTAAAGTTGTTCTTGCCCTAACCGGATTGGCTCAGTGGATAGAATGTTGGCCTGTGGACACAAGGCTCATGGGTTAGATTCCAGTCATGAGCATATGCCTTGGTTGCAGGCACATCCCCATTGGGGTTGTGCAAAAGGCAGCTGGTTGATGTTTTTCTCTAATTGATGTTTCTAGCTCTCTTCCTCTCCCTTTCCATCTGTAAAAAATCAATAAAATATATTGAAGTTGTTCTTATTCCAGATGCACAAAACCAATGAATAGGTCTCACTGGAGGTAAGATTAACCTACCAATCAAATAGGCGTTAGGATATGACTAGGTTTTTTGTTTTTTTTGTTCTCCTTTCCTCTCATTTCTCTTCCTCCTCCTCCTTCTTCTCCTCATCTCCCCTTTCCTCATCTTCCTCCTCTTCCTCCTCCTCTCCCTTCTCCTCCTCTCCCTCTTCCTCCTCCTCCTCCTCCTCCTCCTCCTCCTCCTTCTTCTTTCCCCCCCCCGCCCCTCTCTCTCTCTCTCTGGATGGGAAAACCCAAGGGCTGGAAAATGTAGACAAACACACCACTGAATTAGGAGGAGCAGGAGGCAGGGTGAGATTTCACAATTCAGTTCCATTTTCCTTTCCCACCACCCTCTGTGAAGGTCTCCTCGCCCCATCCTTGGGTCCTCAGAGGTCCCCACCTAAATTTTTCAGGATGAAGAAGTGCATGGGCACAGAAAGGGGAATGGAAGGAAGGAGGCACCGCTGATTCCATCCACAGGCAGTTGGGTGCATGCTCTTTATTCTGTGAATATTTCATTTTACATCGTGAGAATCACACTCACATACTTTCACCGCCTCTTTTCCCCCCATTTAACATCAGATAGCATACACATTCTGATACGACACCAATAGTTCTGCATAATAATAATAATAATTTTTTAATATATCTTATTGATTTTTCTACAGATATTAATAGAAAGGGAGCAGGATAGAGAGTTAGAAACATTGGTGAAAGAGAAACATCAATCAGCTGCCTCCTGTACACCTCCTACTGGGGATGTGCCTGCAACCAAGGTACATGCCCTTGACTGGAATTAAATCAGGGACCCTTCAGTCCTCAGGTTGATGCTCTATCCACTAAGCCAAACCAGTCAGGGCTCTGCATAATTATTATCCTGAACAGCTTCATGAGTCTCCTGACTTACATCCGTTTGTTGCTGACATAAAACATTGAATAATTTGGGACATGTTCAGAGTTTCCACTGCTTTGCTATGACCAATAGTGTTGTGATGCATTCAAACCTTGCCCACAGTTCGGATTTACCAGAATTACTAGGTCAAACATGATGAATGAGACTCTGGATTCACCTTGCCTCGCCTCCTGTCATAAAAATGGTAGCAGTTTACAGTTCTACTGGAGAACACTGTGGGTCTCCCTGCATCTTTACCAGCACCGATGTTTTGTGTGTATGTGTGTGTGTGTTTTTGTTTAGCTCATAGGTGTTTTGGAAATTTTAATTTTTTTTACTAGAATGTTATTGTTTTCATTTGACTTTGAAAGGAATGATAAAGTCAAGTGTGGCTGCAAGTCATGGATGTCTTTATTTCTGGGAAGTTCCTGTTCATGGATGAAAGCATGGAGAGATTAGGAATTGGTTTTCATGGTATTATATATCCATTTGCGGTACATGCATAGGCAGGTGTATATCACTGGCTCAAAGGGCGGTCTACAAGGGAAATATCTGCTGGACACCAGGCCTTGCAGGGAATCTTGGCACATCAGCGGGCTCCCAGAGTTACACTGCAGGGGAAAGAGCAAAGAGGGGCTCATCCTTTCTTCAGAATTAGAATCAGATACACAGATACAAAGACAGGACAGTAGCTTTAGGCACATGCTAGTGATTGCAACAAACATTTTAAGGCATATTTAAAAAATCAAATTTAATATGAAAAAGATCCATGAGGAATCTCATATTCCAGTTGTGTGTGTGTGTGTGTGTGTGTGTGTGTTTAATTTTTTCTTTATTTCAGAAAAGGAAGCGAAAGGGAGAGAGAGAGAGATA